ACTCTAAATCCAATTCCCAGATACACGAGTACTTTGTTGGTGTCTACTGCCACCTCTCTTACTGTGGTCTATTCCTGCATTGATAACACACTGTTTTCCTTATAATATCTCGATCTTAATTATGCTGCATGCCGCTGTCCGAAGGTCTGTGGACAGCAACCACGTCCTGATGCTATAGCCAGAGGCACAGTCTATGAAGGGACCAGAGTTAGGACACGGGACCAGAGCACACGGGAGAAGGGCTGGTAGAGTCAGAGCCCCTGTACTCTAGCCTTGCACACTGGACAGCAGGTGGACCCTGACTTCCCAGAAGGAAGAGGCCAGCAGAAGGCACTGCCTGTACAGGCCCAGAGCTGCAGGTGCCTCAGCACCCTGGCCCTCCCTGCTGCTTGCATCTTTGGAGGCCAGGCTACCAGCTGTGGCTGGGGAGATTGCAGGAAGCTGTCCTATTGGTCAGTAAGGCGCCAAGTCCTACAAAACCTTACTGACAAACAGAGGGGAGGCCCCCTGAGTAGGTGTTCAGTAAATCAGTTTTCCATAGCCCTCCAAGCCTTACGCAGCCTCGTCAGGACCCCATTTCATGCTGCCCCCAGATGGAGGTCCAAGCGCCTGACCTACCCGGCCCAGTGCTGGTTGCAGTGGCCATTTGGAGAGTGAACCAGCAAATGGAAGACGGGCCCATATCTCAGTCTCCATAGTCCCTCTACCCCTAGTTTCTCTTATAATTTTTCAAAAAATTTTCTAAGTAAGAATCATTTTAAGATGTGTTAGCTCACTCCTACTTAAAGCAGTAAGAAAACTTCTCAAAGTCCCTTGTCATTTTGAGTTTGTGCTACAGTTATCTCTGTGCATTGACTTCAATGTCAAAACAATTCCTATAATAACATACATTTTTAGAAACTATCTCGCTCTTAGCACAGGCTCAGCAGCTTAGCAGTTTCTACTGTTGAAACCTGTACAGTGGCAGAATAAGAACTTCAACTTTATGCTGATCCTATTTCACTATCAAAGATGGCACTATCACTATGGTTAGGAGGGATGAAATTCGTAACATAAAATTTACTATATTAAGCATTTTACAGTCAGTATTTCAGAGGCACTGAATACCTGCACAACGCCATTTCGTTCTCATTACCTAGGTCCACGGTTATAATGTACAATGTAAACGACAACCTTTCAGGGTATTCTCAAAGGATTCCCTGAGATGTATCAAAAAAGGCAAGCGAGCTAATGGAAAATCAGAATCTTCTCTCCCTTCTGCTCTGATAGAATGTGCTAAGATAATGTCGACAGTTGTGATGGCTAGCTCGTATTCACTTTGCGCAAACAGCTGATTTTGTAAAATGTGTAAAGATCATCTCACAAGCACCGATCACAGACTCAGCACAGTCCAGATGGGTCACTCAGCCCAGGCCGTAGGTCCCATGCAAGTGCCCAGCAGGGACACTGGGACTGAGCTGAGACTTCCTGCCTAAAAGCAATGGCATTCACCCACGTAACTGTGACATGCCCAGCGACACTCCAGACACTTAATGCTGTATTATTATGCAACACACAATCCAAACGGAAATTTCCCCGTTTTGCACAAGTCCTTCAGAGCTTTTTCTTGCTGAAAATCTAGACTCCTGCGAAGGCTCACAGGGTGCATCTGTGCGTCGCTCAGCCTGCGCCTGTCTGTCCTGAGCAGCAGACCACTCACACTGTCTCAGTCTGTGTGTGTAGGACTCCTTCCACAGGAGAACCACGTCAACTATTTGAAAGAAACACTAAACACACGGAGAAAGATTTTTTCAACTACAGATTTAACAGTCACAAATCAATTCAAATTTTAGAGTGTCAACCTGCTGGGGTCCGTGCAGTAGGTGCAGATGGCAGGGCCCGGGGAGCTTCCAGCTGTTTGGCAAGACCCGGCGGATCTCTGGCCACCTTTCGCATGGACACTCAACCACCCAAGAATTCTGCGATCTATTGAGGCACTGTTCACCCCTCTGAGATGGCTTTTGCCACCTACGTGAGCTTGAAAGTTAATGTTATTGATAACGTCTTGGAGAGTGGGCCTTTAACGGCGCACAGGAGTACAATTAAACCCATGCCATTTCTGGACATCTTATTATGTACCTAACCCAATACCCTGAAATCTGGCTTAGACATATACCGCGCCTTCTGGGAAATAGCTTAATAAGAATTTTACAAAGTAATGGAAGTGATGGGAGTGAGAGCTGAAACTGCTATAGCAATAAATATAGTTACTGTTATCTCAAACACTAGCCTGTCTTTGCAATTTTTTTGAAAAATAGAAAATGTAATTCTTTTAGCCGCTTTTATAATTTTTAGCTAGAGGAAGTAAGGATGCTTTTATTAAAGAAAAACGCTTTTGATTATTGTCTCATTGTTTATAGGGTAGCAGAGTCTATAGTTGTAAGGGGATTTTATATTTGAAATTTCTGTTTTGGATTTTAGGTTTTTTTCCCTTGTAACCTATTTTCCCATTAAATGATGGGTGAATTGTAGAAATAGAAATGTGGTGGGAAAGTACTACTGATTAGCAGGTAATCGCATGTGCCTTGGCCTTGGAGTCCTGGCTGTCCCTCCATGGCTACTGTTGAAGAATAAATAATAGCTTGCTTTGAAGAATATGAATACAGTATTTGCAGAATTATCTTTAGGGGCACCTGCTTAGCCTTGATGTGCAGACGGAGTGACCAAATGTCTGTACATGCCCCTTTGCCTTGAAGTAAAAATAGAATAATTAGTTGCTTGTGTAGAGGCTTGTAAGGTGTCTGAATAAATAAAAGGACAGCTTTTTCCTGGGCTGTTGTGAGAACGCACCAAGTGTCAGTGTCTGTGTCTTTCTTTATCGCCGACTCCATGCACCCTTTCCGAGCTCCGAACTCAGCTGGAGCTGGACTCTGGCATCAACCCTCTTATTTCTCTTCAATTTTCCTATAAAATGTTTAAAATGCTCCTTTGAAGTTATCTGAAGATCTTCACTGACGCCCCTTTCTCAAATCTCTTTGTAGATAAGCTGCACATTCTTCCCTGTTCCCTCATTAATCCTGACTTTTAACTAGAATTTTCAATCTTCCTGTTAATCCTATATTTTTCTACATATAATTCCTATACATATCTTTGTAATTCTTCTCTGCTATTTGTTCTTTCTGACAAACATGACAGATCATCAAATTCTAGCTTCCATTGGTACACATGCTACGTGTGACACAGCTATGTACAGTTTACACTGAAACACAACAAATCACCCCACCATGCGCTGCCCGGGAATAAACACCCGTATCTCGGTGTCTGAGCACTGAGCATAGGTGATAAGTACCCGTATCTCACACTTTCTAAGCACTGAGCACTGGTGATAAGTACCCGTATCTCGGTGTCTGAGCACTGAGCACAGGTGATAAGTACCCATATCTCGGTGTCTCAGCACTGAGCACAGGTGATAAGTACCCGTATCTCGGTGTCTCAGCACTGAGCACAGGTGATAAGTACCCGTATCTCACACTTTCTAAGCACTGAGCACAGGTGATAAGTACCCGTATCTCACACTTTCTAAGCGCTCCAAGCAGAGGTGCAGCAGAGGGTCAGCAGCTCCGGCCGAGGGTCTCACAAGGCTGTGGTCAGGACACTGCCTTGGGCTAGTCCCACAGCTGGGACAGGAGATTGCTGACAGCCTCCAAGGCTGCTGAGTGTCCAGGTGACTGCACAGCTGCCCCTCGAGACCAGAAGTTGAAGGAAACAGCTGCCCAAGTCTTCACTTCCCAGCACCCGAAGTCACACTATATCATGTCCCCAATATCTAAGTTTCCAACATCGAGCCTACGCAAAAAGAGATGCCCTCCTAAAGCACAAGGAGTTGGACGGGAAGTGGAGCAGCTGGGACATGAACTGGTACCCACATAATACCCATGAGCACGGGGCAAGAATCTAGCAACTGAGCCATTGTGCCAGGCCTGCGAGAGAACTTTTTAAAACAGCTGAGTAGGATGGTGAAACTTAGGTTTACAATTTTGTTTTTATTATTACAGACATCAACTGTAAGGGATAAGCTTTGTTTTGTTCCTGATCCAAACTAAAGACAATACTGCATTCACGAGACAACTGCACACCCTAGAGACCCACAATGTGCTCTCAGGACAGGGAACAGCAGCTGGGAGGGCCCTGTCTTCATCTATCTCTCACTTTGCCTCATTTAGGGACACATGAAGTGGCGAGGGAAAACGAGTCAGGAGTCAGCAGGTCCAGGAGTCTCCTATGCTATCATTCTACTTTACATGTCTTCACAATTGCTCTTTACTTCCTGTGACACAAAGCTTAAAAATGGGGCCCAGTGCAGTAGCCCAGTGGCTAAATTCTCACCTTGCACATGCCAGGATTCCATAGGGGCACCGGCTCTAATGCCAGCTGCTCCATTTCCCTTCCCACTCCCTGCTTGTGGCCTGGGAAAGCAGTCAATGACGGCCTAAAGCCTCGGGACCATACCCCTGCAAGGGAGACCTAAAGAAAGCTCCTGGCTTTGGATTGGCTCAGCTTCGGCCGTCGCAGCTACTCGGGGATTGAACCAGTAGATGGAAAATCTTTCTGTCTCTCCTTCTCTGTGAATCTTCCCTTTCAGGAAAAATAAATAAAATTTTTGAAAAATTAAAAAATTTTAAAACTTAAACTTAAAAAATCAGCAAATTTACGCTTGCCAAATTTCAGCCTGTCAACACCCACAAATTTTAAAGTCGAAAAATAAACCAACACGAGTTTGTAACTGACATCCAATTCAACCACTAATCTCAGAAAAGCAGTAAGTCACGCACGCTGTCCTACGTAAGCCTGTCTGCATTAGATACTATATTTTCCTCCCATGATTTGTCAAAGTTCAAATCATATTTTTCTGTTACCTAAATTCAAACTAGATCACATACGTGGCAGGACCTTCCTAGTCGTCAATCCTAAAGGGACAGACTTGTAGTAACTGCCACGCCTGCCCCTCAGCAGAGCTTTACCTGTAGAGACGTAATTGACCCTGTGTGCCCCTGAAGCACTGCGACCGGGGCACACGTCCTCAAGCACCACACTCGAACGATCTTATCGCAGCTTCCTGCGGCAATCAACGTGTTCTCATAGTTCACGGCCATATCCGAGATCTCCGCAGAATGTCCTCGCAACGTGGACAGCAGACGGCCATTATGTGTGGACCAAATCTTTACCAAACAATCATCTGAGCCCTAAGGGAATAATACACGCAACAAACATCAGTTCAGCACGCTTGTCAGTTTAAAAGAACAGCTTTCGGGTGCCACCCTAGTGAAGCATCTAGAGCCCTCCCCTCTTTCCAACGTCGAAAATTTTGTGAATTATGATTCCTACAGAATCACAGGAATTACCTATGGAACAACAGTATTTTTCTTCAACGTAAAGAAAATTTACATACACTGTGAAATGATCAATTCTATGGGGTAGATCTCATCATAAATAACATTTCTACAAACTTCCTTGACAATTAGTTAGGTCTGAGCCAAAAGTTCATGATCACCTCCATCAGTTAACAACAATCAAATGTCAGTCGTTTACACCGAGTTCAATCATTTGACAAGCATTAGGACAAATATATGAAGACTAAGCAAGGAGCCATCCCAAAACCAACGAGGGGACAATGAGAACGCGGTCTTCATCTCAGATCACAGTACCAGCCAGCACTCGCAGCGCCAAGGTTTCAGTATCCACTCTGAATCTGACTCACAATGCTAAGAAAACTCGTCAGTGATCCTAACCTGATCTAAATGCTCACGTGCTTACATTCCCACTTCTCGGTTTTCTAATAATTATTCTGCATGGGAAGGTTACTTTTATAACCAATCTATTTTCATGGATTAGTGATTAATCAATATTAACGGAAATCACTTGTAGAAGTTTGGGATGTTTATGGCATTTCTTTTTAAAGATTCAAATCTTTGTTATTTGGAAGTTACATTTAACAGAGAGTGAGAAATTCTGTCTGCTGGCCAACTCCCCAAATAGTCTGAACCCCAGAGTTGAGCCAGTCCAAAGCTGGGAGCTAGGAGCTTCTTCTGGGTGTCCTGTGGGAATACAGGGGCCAAGGATTTGTCCCATCCTCCGCTGCTTTTCACAGGCAGAGAGCTGGAGCAAAAGCGGAACAGCCAGGACTAGAAAGAATGCCCGTATGGGTGCTGGCACCGCAGGCACAGGGTTAGCTTGCTATGCCACCATGTATGCCCCGAAGACATTTCTAAATTTGGAGTAATTTCCTTATACATATTTAGATTAATTACAAATTAATGTAATTCGGTAATCTAAAATGGGCTGCACTGAAATATTCGGTGTGCATATATATTTTTTTAATTTTGTCTTTCTAGGCATGTATATTTTTAAGCATCCTTAATAAGAATGGGGTGGGTGCTCTAACAGCCAGGTTAAGCCGCCCCAGTCTATGCCCATATCACATCACTGAAGTGCCCGGGATCAGACCTGACTGCTTCTGAGCCAGCTTCCTGCTAACGTGCCTAAGACACAGCAGATGACGGTCAAAGTGTCTGGATTGCTGTGACCCAGGTCCCAGCTTTTGACCAGGCCCAATACTGGCTATTGCCTAGCAAGTGCAAGATTCTATCTGACATTCGGTTTTCCAAATAAATCAATCTTTCTTAAAAAAATTTTTTTTTTTCCCAAGAGTCCATGTTGTGGTGTGCAGCTTAAGCCAAAATCTGCAGCACACAGGAGCGGGCCTTCCGAATGTGCATCAGCTGAAGCTCCAGATGACATGCTAGGAACATGGCCAGCAGTGGAAGCCACAGCAAAGATTCAGGGCTCCAGACTCCAGGTTTTAGCCTGGCCCAGCCCCAGCTGCTGCAGCTATTGACAGAGTGAACAAGTGAACAGATCACATCTTAGTTGATCTGTTTCTTCCTGTGGTTAACTCAGCTCTTCAAATAAATCTTTAAAAAAAAAAAAAAAGCAAGGAAAATGAACCATTATTCTGACTCAGTATGTCTCAAAACAGCACACAGAGCTTTGTGCAGCATTGACACCTGAGTTACTTTAACAACACAAATCTGGGGTGAGCATTTAGCCTAACAGCTAAGGCACCGGTTAAAACAGCCATGTCCGCAACACGGACATGGCTGGCACGGTGGGCAGAGACCTCATCTGCAGCTCCGGCGTCCCTAAGGGCTCCAGTGCACAGCCTGGCTGCTCCACTCCCTACCCAGCTTCCAGCCGAGGGAGAGCAGCAGCAGGGGGCCCCAACCACCGCTGCGGCAGATTCTGAGGAATCTGCTGGCTCAGTCCTGGCCATTGCTGCCATCTGCGGAGTAAATCGACAGACAGGTCTCTCTGTCTTGTCCCCTCTAACTTTGACTTTCAAATAAATAAATCTTTAAATAAACACACACACCCATGTCCCTGTCAAAGAACATACCCCACCCCAGCTCAGGACTCCAGTTTCCTTAGGGGGAATCTCAGGGGGCAGCAGTGATGGCTGAAATAACCGGGTTCTCGCCACCCATGTGCGAGACGGAGCCTCAATTCCCACCTCCTTGTCAACTGTGGGCACCTGGGCAGGGAACAAGCAGCTAGGCACTCCTCCCACACACATTTAAATAAAAACACAGTTGAAAAGACAAATTCACAGGCTCCACACCAGACCAAGTTCATCAAAACATTTTAAGTTTCTAGATGGTTCCGAAGCACAATAAAGTGCTCCAGGTAATCCCAAAGAGTTTGAAATGTTAACTCACTGTAAAGATTCTATGTCCTGTCCTATCAAATGCTACACAGTAAACAGCAGACAGATGTCCCAGAATCCTCCTGTGCATTTTTATATGCTGATACATGGTTCCTGGGAAGGCTGTGCTAAAAGTGCAACACCCTGTGAGTTGTTTTCCTCGATGTATCTCCACTAGGAAATAAAAACAACGAGAACGGTTAAGGAGGCCAGTGCATAAAATGCTAACAAAAATCCAAAACAATCTCTGTAAGATCACAAAATCCATGTCTGAGAAATCCTAATGATTCAAGTGTCTTCCAATTTTTTGTACTATATTCATTAATACAGACATCTTATGATTTTTTCATTAATTTTATTCTTACTACATTTAGAAAAGAATCTGAAATTTGATAAGTACTACTGAAATAACAGTACTAGTCTTTCTAGGTTTTACTACGGCATTCATAAAGATAAGCACTCTTCAAGAATGGAAACTGAGTCATTCCCCAGGCCACCCTCACTCACCGAGACTTGGCGGGGAACCATAGTTGACTGGCATTTCCGGGGGTCTTCCTCTGTGAAGAGCAGCAAAGGCAGAGCCCTTCCAAACTGTGTGCCTGCAGTCTTTAAAACGAATTTTAGATACACATAAAATCTTGAAAGTTAACCCCAAGAAAGATTTTATAGAATACTTACGTATATTGTAATAAACTGTTTATTCAAAGTTTTACCAACTAATATACTTTAACAGAAAAGCCCTGGAGATTTATTAGACTATTTCTGAAGGGGAAAAGTCTTGAGGACATCTCAGATACAGCCGCAATAACTAACGTGGGTAGCACTTCACAGTCCACCAAGTGCTTTGCACATACATTGTCTCGTTGGACCCTCACAACAACCCTGTGAGGTAGGTGTGTTCGCCAACTTCCAGGTGAGGTCACTGAGGCCCGAAGGTTCCAGGACTTTAAGAGATCCACTGCAAAGGATTAGTGAGATGGACCATAAAACCAGATCTTTCGACTCCAAGTCCCATTTAGTATCAGGTAAGTGTTTATTTTTCAAAGCAGAATTATAAGTTACAATATGAAAGATAAAAGGTCTTAATCACAACTAATCCAGCTTTTCAAAAACGTTAACTTCAAAAGGAAAAACTTCTTGATAAGAAAACTCTTGACTTAAATAATTAACTTGTCTCGCTTTGAAAATTAATCTAGCCAATACCACCATAAGTTTAAACTCCAAAAAAATGAACAAGCTTAGCTTTCCGCTCATTTACAGAACACGCATGTAAGACCTGGGAGTCAAGCACGAACTGCAGCCCCATCCCTCCCTGACCAGGAAACGGACTAAGGAACAGCGTCTGTTCCTCCGAACAGAAGAGGCAGCTTCTCCACAGTGAGAGGGAAGATGCCCACAGACCTCTACTGCCTCGGTGCCCTCGGTGCCCCACGCCAGCAGGCATATTCTGTTTGACAGGAATGAATTCATTATCTTTACCATGACCAAAGAGCAGTTCTCCAAGGCCTCTGCCTGGGGCGCTCGTACAAAGCAAATAGAGAAATATGCTCCTGCCTAGGGTGGCTTGCTGAGGTCTCTCCGAAGATCTGCCAGCTCTAAAGTAATGCTCATCACAGAACACCATGGAGCTTGACACAAAGCAAACAGGCTACCCAGATAGCCGCTACGGACCAACCTCATTACAAGTGATAGGGACACAGAAAAAGGAAGAATATGAGCAGTGCCTGACTAGAACCAGCGAGTGGCATTGCTTAGTCTCCACTAAGAAACAACTAAGCAAACCAGCGTGGCAGCGAGCAAAGGAGAGGGTTGTTCTTTTGCTCATCTAAGAGCGCAGCACATCACCAACAGCTCTTGACAAAGTCATCACGGGATGAACTTGACGTCTGCTCGGGGTCAGAAGAGCCAACAATCTTCCCATCAGCAGGTTAGCCACATGTACACATAGATTATATCACATACATATACTTAGTCTAAGTCAATTATACCAAGCTAACAGAAAAGAACAGCAATTCCAAACATTTTGCTATCACATAACTTTGCAAAAAAAATCCATGAAAAAGGAACCATGCAATTTTACATTTTTGGTGCTTGATTGCAAACTGCTACCGAATTTTAAAAATCACCTCCGCTCATGACAAAGGGCTCTCAGAGCCTAAGTACCCAACGAAGTACTTCTAGCATTTAAGTTTATTTAGACACATACAATTACATTCAATGAAGTTACGAGTGAGCTACAAAATGGAAAGAACTCACACAAATCAAACCTCAAACACATCTCAGAATGAATTCAAGCTTCTCAGCTTAACAACTGCATCTTTATCAATATTTTAAATGCAAAAGGACTCATTAGACACTTATTGTAATCAATTTCGATGATCTATGCTAATTGCAAGACATTATAGTCCACAGCAAGATTTATAGTTACATAACACCTTTCTTCCACATCGCTTACATTACTCCACAATTGTAATTATTAAGCTAATAATACAAAGCAGAACACTTCTTCAAATTAAGGTACCTTTTGCTGTACGTAGCAAAGACTGCCTTCCTGCACCAAGTAAAGAAGTGACTCTTGAAATACTGGGTGGGACTTCTTTATCCAACATAGGACCGAGACGCTGGCAGATTTGCAACAGATGGTCAGGAGCCACATGTTTATTGGATAAGACCTGGGTGAAGAGCAAGTTTTAATAACAACACTGTTTACAGTATCATCAAAAAATAAATGTGTAAGTATAATAAAACATGGTGCAAACCACAAAACATTCTGAAAAAATGTAAAGACTCAGACACAGATCAATCTACCAAGTCAAACCCATCCCAACCAAAATTCCAGAAGTTTTGTAGATATTGATAATTTCTTTTTAATTTAGATGAAAATGACCTAGAAAACCCAAAGCTCAGGAAACTCTGAACAAGAACAAAGTTACAAGGTTAATAATGACTACAGTCAACTCAGCACAAAGTTATCACAATCAAAACAGTAAAGGGGCCAGCATGTCACCAGAGCGCTGGCGGAGTCCCACAGCTCCACTTCCGATCCACGCAAGACAGCAGATGGGCCAAGTACTAGGGCCCCACAGCCACGGGAAAGGCCCGGGTGGCATTCTGGCTCCTGGCTCGGGCCTGTTCCAGTGCCAACCATGGTAGCTAGCTGGGAAGGAGTCAGTGAAGGGCAAAGATCCCTTTCCCTTGTCTCGCCAACTGTTTCTCAAATTTACACACACACACACACACACACACACACACACACGTGGGGGGCATCAAGTGAGACAAAGATCAGTGGTAGAATCAAGTGTTCAGAAGCACACACACACAAGTACCAGGGCTGCAGAAACTTGGTGGGGGACAGAATTAAAATACATTATGAATTCTTCATTGATTTTTTTAAGTCATCTCATCAGACCATTTGCAAAAAAAAAGACTTGCTCTTCATCTCACACTGTAACCAAAATTATCTCCAGATGAATCATAAAACGATACAACTCCTAAAACATCAGAAGAAAATGTCTATGATGTAGAAGTAGGCCAAGAAGAATGTGATACCGAAAGGATAGCCCACAAAAACACGGTAACTTGTATTCAAAGGGAGCTCAGGAAGAATGAAAACACAGCTACAGGCTAAAAGTCATCAGGAAGTGTATTTCTGAAGGAAATGTACCCAGAAACGTCAAGCACTCTGAAACGATCGGGAGCCATGTTGGGACACTGCACGTAAAGCTGCCACAACATCCCCTGTGCGCACAGGTTCATGGCCCAGCTGCTGACTCCACTTCTGACCTAACTCCCTGCTCATTTTCTGGGGCAGCAGTGGAAAACGGCCCAGCTACTTGGTCCCCTGCGACACGAGGCAGATCTGAATGAGCTCTCGGCCCAGACCTGGGGTGTTTTTGTGGGGTTTTTTTTGTTTTGTTTTTCTTTTTGAGGCCACGCAGAGTGTGAAACACCAGTTGGAAAACCTCTGTCCCTCCCTCTCTGGCTTCAAACAAATAAATGTGTATTTTTAAAAATTTATGAACTACCATAAAAAAAAAATTGCACAACCTGGTTTTCTTGAGCATGCCTGCTGTGCAGCTCAGAGGAACCTCAAGCCTCAGGTCTCACAGTGGCCCCTCAAGGGTCAGCATGGTCCTTTTCTATTTTGGGGGGTCTGAAGTGCTCCCATTTACTGTGCACCCCAGAGCCCCTCGCATTATGATCCCCAAGAAAACCACTTGAAATAATTTACAAATGTGTTTAGGCCATTTAAATTGGATTCATTCTTGGTTAAAACTGAGTACCCAACAGTTCACCCCACTTCTTGCTTGCCTGAGCAGCGATTCCCACGCCGCTGCCTTAGGGCGCTAAGAGAGCAGCGGGACCTGCTCTTGCCCTGATCAATCAGGCCATCAGTTCCTGGGAGCTCGACCAGTGGAACCTTCAAACAAAGAGTTTGGGGCCTTGTCCTTAATACTGGTGCACTGTGGCAACCGTCAGACAATATTGAGTGGGTGTATATCTAGTTTCCTCCAGAATGGCAAAGGTCCTACCCCCCATTTCCATGCCTGCTGCCACTGTTAAGTCTATGCCTTTTCTTCTTACAGCAGTTAGGCTGTGAGCCAGATCTTTTGGGATCGCCTGTCTCTAGACACCTTGGACTTTTTGTTGCCCAATCATTTAACTCTCATAGCCTCATTAAAAGCATACACAGGCCTTAAGTTGATAGCCACTGTAACCCCAGTAAATTCAGTCAGGCTATGCGTCTACCACCCCAACCGTATCCTCAGTGGTTCTTTCTCAACCAATTTCTCCAGCCCCACTAGTCGTTACTGATGCTAGTTCCACAGACACAACAGCTGCAGTTAAATATACCTCAAAACCAACTACCTTAGCAATTTGTGCATGCTGGACTGGCGAGGACGCCTCAGTTTTCAGAGCTGCTGGCCACTTACTGTGCCTTACAGCTCACTCCGCGGCCCTGTAACTTATTCAATGAGAGTATATATTGTGCAGTGGTTTCCTCAGCTTCCTTACGCTTGTTGCAGACTGGATTATCCTAGTCTCAACTCAACAGTTGAAGCCCGCCATTCCCCCTTCTTTATCCAAAAGATCAGAGTTCATTCTGGCCTTCCTGGCCCTTCGTCGTCATCATCATCATCCCTTAATCAGCACAGGTACCAGGTCAGGAAGTCCCAGCGTGATGGCTACCAAGGTGGCTGGAGAAGGGTGGAGTTTGCCTCCAACCAAACCCGGAACAGATGGTGGAATTCTGGTGGGCTCCTCAGGCGGTGAGACCACTGTTGCACCAATGAGGGGCACAGACCCATATCCCCCCACCAATAAGGGCTAAGGCGACCCGTCTCGGCTTCCATGTCAAGAATTTAAAAGGGCCCCTTCCCCCGTCTCTTCGCGCTCTTCTTCCACTGTAGCCCACTCCTTCACGGCTGTCCTTCCTGCTGCACGGGAAAGGGAAGCCTGTGATCATAGTTCCCCGAAATAAAGGCCATCTACATTCTTCTCATTTCCTCGGCTGAGTTATTGTTTCCCTGGTGGGTGGCAAATCTGACACAGCACAGCTCATTCAAGGACACAGAAGAGAGACTGCAGTGCAGCCCACAACAACACACCACCCTTGCCTGTACGGCGAGTGATCAGGCCAGTTTGAGGTCTCGGTTAGCTGAAACCACTGTCGGGCCCAAGTCCTTGGGATACTGTCACCCACCCTCCCAGGGGACCTGGACAGAATTCCTACAACAGCTAGGGTTTGATCTGGGGCCAAGCCCTCGCTGTTGTATGTATTTGGGAAATAAACCAGCAAATGCAAGGTGACTAAGTGTTCATAAAGAAATGGAAAAGTTTATTTCAGTGCATTAAGGTTTTGAAGTCTATGCACAATTCTTCAGGACACACATTGTCCATGAACTTATGCCAAAACAGAGGCAGCACTCAAAAGCTTCATGGTGTTAATAGCATGCTATACCAGAAAGTAAAACTGTGGCAGAAAATCAGAGAAATACAGAGAAACATAAGTCCTATATTATCAAGAAAAAAAAAAATCACAAAGAATTTTTAATACAATTTTTAATTGTGGAAAGAAAAATCACAAACTAACTGACCTAAATAACACATACAAACAATTTTAAAAATTGAGTAAAACACAACATGGCTTGTGGAGGAGGAAAACCACCTTTCTCCAGCTGAGGAAGTCCACTAAGAGGCCGACAACTGTCAAGACAATTTCTAAATGACATAACTGATTTCCAAGCCAGACAAACAATGAAGTCTTGATTTCTGAACATCAAATAAAAAGAAGTTCTCTAGATGTAAAACTGAAGACTACTTCCCAGTGCTTCATCTCTTAAATCACCCGAAGCTTTGTTAACAAGCAGACCACACTCATTTTCCAGACAGAAAAAGCAGTACAACTGATCATCAGAATACTGGGGTGGGTGAGCACTTGGCACAATGGCTAAGAGCTCCCCTAGGTCGTAGAGGGCACCCCCTAGCCACGTGCCTGGACTGGAGTTCTGGCTCAGGGAGGGTGGTGTCAGCAATGATTCCATTTCAGACTCCTTTCTCTGGCCTGGACCAACCCTGGTTGTCAGCTGTGCAAGCAACTGGAGGAATAAAATAGTAGACAGAACAGGTCTCTCTGCCATTCAAATAGATAAATAAAAATAGGAAACTTCAACTTCCTAACTATATGGACAAGTATACTTAGACAAGCCCAAATATTACAGGAACGTGCATTCTATACAGTAGTCATAATCTTCAAACACAAGAAAAATCACAGATCCACTACCGCACTAGGAACTGTAACACACCATCAAAGACCCAGGAAGACTCATCCTACCTCCATATCACACAGGAAGCAGCTCAGCAACGTGGTGCCCATTCCCATACACTCAAGGAAATCACAAGAAAACGGTTCTTAAGTAATGTGCACATGAAAAAAAAATCAACTGGCACATAGAGGAATAGCAATCAGACTCACACCTGATGACTTACAGGAAACTCTACAGACCAAAAGAGAATAGAGCAACATATTCCAGATTCTAAAAGAAAAAAATTTGTCAGCCAAGAATAACGTACCAAGCAAAGCTTTCCTTTGTCTTTGAAAATGAAATAAAATCTTCCACAGAAAAAAAAAAAAAAACTAATAGAATATGCCTCTTCCAAACCTGCCCAATAAATGATAAAGAGGTGCTAGCAGAGAAAATAGCCCCCACCAAAATCAAAGGCAAACACGAAGAACATCCCAGTAAAATAACAAAAGACTAAATCAAACAAGCAACAACTCATTGCTTAATTGACAGGACCAAATTACCACATTTTTATAAAAACCCTGAATGTAAATGACTTAAAGTCATCAATGAAATGTCATAGAATGGGCCTGGCACAGTGGCCTAACAGCTAAAGTCTTTGCCTTGAACGCGCCGGGGTCCCATATGGGCACTAGTTCTAATCCCGGCAGCTCTACTTCCCATCCAGCTCCCTGCTTGTGGCCTGGGAAGACAGTCGAGGACCGCCCAAAGCCTTGGGACCCTGCACCCGCGTGGGAGACCTGGAAGAGGTTCCTGGATCCTGGCTTCAGATCAGTATAGCATCGGCCATTGTGGTCACTTGGGGAGTGAATCATCGGAGGGAAGATCTTCCTGTCTCTCCTCCTCTCTGTATATCTGACTTTCTG